GAGGTTGGACTATTTACTGTTTTCAAGATCTGTCACAGGTCTTCCCTTCTGCTCCTATATCTGAGCAACTGATAAGAAAACCTGGGAGCTTCTTTTGGTTCTGGTGGAAAGTTTCCAGGGTGGGCAAACTTTTTAACTTGAGAGCCACAATGGGTTCTTAAACTGGACCAGAGGGCCTGAACAAAAGCATGGATGGAGTGTTTGTGTTAACTAATATAAATTCAAAGTAAACATCATTACATAAAAGGGTATGGTCTTTTTTTTCAATAGTTTTATTCATTTCAAATGGGCCGGTCCCACAGCTGCTCTAGACAAACAATCAGCAAAGAAACAGCAATCCTAAATGACTCACTAGATCAGATGGACTTAATTGACATCTTCAGAACATTTCACCCCAAAGCCACGGAATATACATTCTTCTCAAGTGCTCATGGGCTGGGCTAAGGGGGACCCCCCCCCCGCCCCGTACATGAATTTCGTGCACCGGGCCTCTAGTATTAATATCTATTAAAACATTTCCTCCAACCTAAATATTCTTTTTTTTTCTGATTTAAGAAAAGACAATAAAACCTTTTTAATTGCTCCTTAAAGCATCATGGGCACTAGGCACTGTATCTACTGTGCCTAATGGATAAATCAGCCCTATTCATTACCTTTATGACCTTGGAATACATATTTAAACTCTCAGAGACTCAGATTCCTCATCCATAAAATGGATGGCCTGACCAGGGGAACAATAATTCATTCATTTAACCTAAGATTAACTGATTGTATTAACTGCTTGAGCAGCTCTATAACATGGTTGGTCCATTGAACAAAATCTTTAATTCTTTATAATTTCTTAAAGATTGCCAATAATACTTTATAATTTCTTAAAGTATTTTGACGGGGCTTATGAACAACAGAAATTTCTTTCTCACAGTTCTGGAGGCTGAAGTCCAAGATCAGGGAGACAGCATGGTCCAGTGAGGGCCCTCTTCCAGGTCACATACTTCTCTTTGTGTCCTCACATGGTAGAAGGGATCCAACAGTAAGTATTTTCAAAATTATATCTATAGTCCTTTAATATCTTATAATGTATTGCTCTCAGCTTGGAAACTTCAATCCTATAACATTTAGTTTATTCTTATATTAGAGTGTTTAATTCATGTAGCATAACTTACCTGTGCATGTGAATCCACCTCTGTGAATGATTGCTCAAGAACAGGGTTCATGAGAGAGAAACATCTATCAGCTGCCTCCAACTGGGGATTTAGCCCACAATCTGGGCATGTGCCCTGACTGGGAATCGAACCCGTGACCTCTTGGTGCATGAGATGACAATCCACTGACCCACACCGGCCAGGCTCTAACTACTTTTTAAAGCCAGACTAGCAATAAGGTCAGTGGGTTATATCTGAGGCTAGGACCAGCAGATGATTCCAGGATGGATTAAGCCATAAAGCAAGATAATCTCAGGAAAGGAGCAGATAGGTGGCAATCTCAGCACCTCTTAGTGGAATTTGCGGGTCCATCATTCTTAAGCTGGGTTTTCCAGCCTCATCCAAAGACGTCAAGGGCAGTGAGAGCCTATGCCCTATTCTGCCTGAGTCACACTTCAACTCCTCGCTTTGCCACCTAAAAGCAGCTGGCCTAACGCCTGGGATGGGAAAGGTCAGGGTGCCCAAAGCCTCTTCCGCTTTGACAGCTCCCTAGTGTCTGGGAACTAAGTAAATGGCAGCTTTCAGGATCAGCCTCTTGCATAATATTGTAATTTAAGATCAAGCCTTCTCAGTATTAATGCTCCCCTGCCCCACCCCTCCCCCATACCAACCCCACCTTCACTTCCAACCCCTCCCAGAACTGGTTTTTGTTGAGTAAGTGAAACTATGTCTTGGTAAATGACACAGTAGCTTTCAGTTCCCCTCTTGGATTTTGCTGAAATGGCCCAGGAATTTAGACATGGTTCTAGCCCCCCAACAGGGTCAAGAGGATTTCTGCAACCACCTCAGCCATACAGAGCATTTCTTCCCCTGCCCCTTTCCATTGTTTCCATGGCTCCTCAGTTCAGTTCTGCTTTCCTCCAGAAGCACAAGGAACTCCAGCTGGTGGATAACATACCAAGAGGCTGTGGGCTGACCATGAACCTGGTGGCTCAGTACTCAGTATAAAACTTTTGGCTTGAGTAACTCGGTGGGTATTGGACAATTAATTGAATTCCAGATTACAAATGAGGAAACTGAGGCTAAGACAAGTCTATAATTTGAGGATAGCTGGTAAGTGACAGAGCTGGATTTTAAAGCTAGGTTTTGCAGACTTCAGAGCTGAGCCTACTTTAGGTTTAGTCAGACCAAAAACTTCCTGCCCCTTTTCCTATTTTCCAGGAATGGGATGGTTTGATAAGATCAGGTGCTCTCCATAGGATTTTTGACTGGGTTTTAGAGAATGCAAAGGCTTCAAGCTTCTTAGGGTCCAGGCAATGTGCAACCAATCAGCAATCCTGCCTGCTGAGAGATGAAATGGTGAATGACTTGTATCAGGCCTGTACACAAATCCAACTTCAAAAGATTTTTCTTATAGAAAACCTTTTCTGTTGACTTTCTTAAAGGGGCAATGCAGGGCTTCACAGCATATCAAACAGAAAAGCTTCATAAAATTCCTCTCCTCTTGTCCATTTCATTAAAGTACACACAACCACAGTTCAAATCTCTACCCTCCAGCCCCACCTGCAACTCCATTTTCATGTTCTTTCTTTTTCACTCCATGCTGCTCTCTCCATTTCTTCCTTCTCAACATACCTAAAAACATGTGCTCTTAGCATTCAGGTTTTTCGGACACCTGTAATCTCGTGGACCATCTAATCTAGTTTCTTGCTCTAAATCGTTTTCTCCTGCAGGGAGAAAACCTCCTCCCCAGTTCTGTTGAATTCTAAATTCTGGTATACTTTTTGTTACACCTGGATGACGTAGAAATGGTCATTAGGTTATACAGATCCTGAAAAACTAATGACGTTATCAATGAACATGATATTTTGATCATTTCAGAACAAACTTAAAACATTTTGGCTTGTTTTTCATAGTTTTCTTATATTTGGGATATTAAAAAATAATTCCTTCATTTAAAAATATTTTATTGAATTTATTGGGTG